CTTATCTCCCCGCTGGGAAGAGAAACCAGTTTCCGTATACAATTAAAAAAAGACTTTGGCTAAGTGCAAGTTCCCTGCTTCGGCTCTGCAAATCCCAGGACCGCGGAGTTCAGCGCGGAGCAAGAGGCTTCACCCCTCGGCGCTGAGGCTGAGACCTGCCTGGCCCGGCAGCCACCAAAGGTGATGGACGCTCGGCGACGCCTGCAAAAGCAGTCGGCAGATGTAACCCGAGGTGCCACGGAGAGCGGCGCCTCCGGGTTTATCCCAAAATCGGCCTCCCAAGGCACTCCCAGCGGGAGAGCTCTTTCCTCTCCATGCAGAGCTTTGCCATTGCTCTTTTTTGGCAAGGGCCGTTAGGAGAAACAGCAAAAGTGTGACTTTTCGGTTTGGCTGGTATACCTGCAATTTCTCTAATTTAGGGAGTCGCTAGGTTGCTTTATCACCTTTAATTTGCTGTTTGCAGTTGGCGCTGGAGTGTTATCATGGAACTGACATTAGGAGATTTAATTTTGCAAAGTGATTTAACGCTGGGCCAATTTAGAAACCAATTTAGTTCTTACCCAAAGTGCTGGTGTACATTGCACTCATTTCCAGGTAATGCCAGTATACTGTAAATGATTTTCAGGTTTGGGTTTTTTTTTTGAAGTTACAGGTGCAAACCTTTAAAAGCTCAACTCTAACAATTATCCCCAGGCCATTTTTGCTCAGAAACGTCCCAGCGCAGCAGGCAAGGGGTGAACACCCCAGCTCAGATGAGCGTTTGCTTAATATTCCTGAAGTGCTTAGCAATATAGAGACCACGTTGCTGTTTAAAGGTTTGGATTGCTTTTCACCTTGGCATTGTCTCCTTCGTTATAATAAGAGGCATCAGAATATTTGCAGTGACTACGTCTCCGAAAAGGGCTTCCTTCTTGCCCAGCTGCGGGTCTCCACTGGGCTCATTCCCCATCTATCTCGGTGGCACCACATTCATTTCATTAATTTGGTACTTTTTTCCTCCTAATGGACTCTGGTTTATCTTGAAGGTAAGATTACTCATCAGGGAGAAATATTGCTGCTTCTAATAGATTTACTGTTGTTTAAAACAGTTTGTTGCACGCTCATTAACATAAATGACTGATTAGGGTGAAGGGAATATACTGACCCTGCTGCTGAACACCATCAATAAGCCCAGGATCCTGCTGCATCTTAAATGCTCTCCATTTATATTCCTTATTTTTACAACATTGTAGCCCGAGATGACGTGTTTAGGGAGAAATATAAAGCCACGCTTCAGTGCTCTGCAGTGATTAGTTGCAATTCCCTCGGGAGCTAAATAATTATTAGAGCCCCACTGCCACTGGGAAGTACCGGCAGGGTGGATATAAGCCGGAAAAGCAAAGCAGCAGCCCACGTAGGAAGGAGATGAAATGGTCCCTGTCGATGGCGATTGCCAGCTTGCCCTCGCAGGCGGCAGAACTGGCCCTCGTAGCACCCCACCCCATCCCTCCTCTTGATTCACTGCCAAAGTGTTGTTTGCCTTCTCCCACGTTATTGCCCAGCCTTTCTGAGCGCTCTAGGTATTAAAACACGCCTCGGTCCCAATAAATATTTTATCAGCTCTAGCATATGGCCTAGGTGCCTCGGAAACGGGCCCTTGACAAGCGCCGTGGGCAAACAGACGCAAACCTGCCAGATTTCTGGGTGATGTCGATGAGAAAACAGGAACTGCAAAAAAAAAAACAAAAACAAAACAAAAAAACCAACCGCACTGCAAGGAAAACACAGATGCGGGCTGCCTCCTGGCTGGTGTTTGGCACCAGCAGGCACCAGCTGAGCCCCAAAGCAGCCCCCGAGCCCCTGGCACGGTGCCCGGTTCCCCCAGCGACCAGCCAAAAAAAAAAACTCTCAGAGCCCCGACGAGCTCAACGCGCAAACTTTAAAAATACAATAGGGCTGGGACCAGGCGTTTGCATTTTCCTCGTGAAAATCCACGTCTTCTGCATCCCGCTAGCACGCCGGCCTCCGGGCTGGCTGGCAACCGTGCAGCTCTCAGCAAAGTGGATCCCGCGCTGGACCGGCCAGCATCGGCTCACAGGCTAATTGCTAATTAGTGCTGTTAGTTATTTGCTAATTAGCTCAAAGACTAAACACAAGGGGGCAGATATTCAAACGTTTCATGTTTTCAAATGTCAAAAGCGCAGCTTTATCCTAGAGGGGACAGATAGCAGCAGGGGGATTTGTGGCTGCTGCGTTTTTGGCGATTCGTGTCCTCCCAGCGCATGTAATACCTGGGGAGAAACCGTGTTTGTTGAAGATTCAGCTCCCAAAGAGTAAATGCTTCAGGAAATGTTGGCCAAAAAATGACAAAAATCAAAAATCCCACCTAGCCAATATAACCAGTACAACACGACTCGCAAAACCGGGAATTAAATAAGGTTTGGGGGTGGTTTACAGTGGAAATCCCTCCCTGCAACGCTGATAACGCCTAGAAAGCGCCGCGGGAAAAGGAGCGTGAAGCCTCCCCGGAGCTGCCAAAGTGAAGTAAACAGATTGCACCAAACCGCGGCAGGTAACACTCGCCGTGTTCAGAACTGAAGGTGGTGCAATTCGTGCGGCCGTCACGCAACCCTCCGCGGGCAGAGCTTCATCCCCGGGGTAGCGCCAGCCACTGAGCCGGAGCGATGCCGAACCCTCGGCCGCCCTTAAACCCGCACGATGCCGGGAAACGTGTTTTGAAAGCGCGTCCTCCAGTGAGCGGGCTTGCACCGAGTTGTGCAAGGCGGCTCCCGGCAGCGCCGAGGGCCGCGTCTCGTCCCCCGCG